CAGCATTATTCACAATGGCCAGAACATGGAAGCAACCTACATGTTGCTTCCTACATGAGGCAACCTTCCTATATCATGCAACCTACATGACTACAAGCAGTCATCAATAGATGACTGGATAAATAAAATATGACACATTCCATGGAATATTATTCAAGCCTTTAAAAGACAAGGACATTCTGTTACCTGCTACAACCTGGATGAATCTGAGGACATTATGCTAAATGAAATAAGCCAGTCACAACAGGACAGATACTGTATTATTCCACTCATTAGAGGTATGGAGACCATTTCAATTCATAGAGTCCAAAAGTAGAGGGTAGTTGCCAGGGGCTCAGGGGAGGGGTGGGGAGTTATTTTTCAAAGGATACATACAGAATTTCAGTTTTGTAAGATTTTTAAAGTTCAGGGGTTAGATGGTCCTGCTGGTTGCACCACTGTGTGAATGTACTTAGTGCTACTGAACTGGACACTGAGTAACAGTTAAGATGGTAAATTTTATGTTACATGTAATTTAAAAATGAATTTCACCTGTTTCTTTTTCATATCAATTAAAAGACACTTGCTCCTTGAAAGCAAAACTATGATAAACCTAGACAGTGTATTACAAAGCAGAGACATCACTTTGCTGACAAAGGTCCACATATAGTCAGAGCTATGGTTTTTCCAGTAGTCATGTATGAATGTGAGAGTTGGACCATAAAGAAGGCTAAACTCCAAAGAATTGATACTTTCGAACTGTGGTGCTGTTGAGAGTCCCTTGGACTCCAAGGAGATCAAACCAGTCAACTCTAAAGGAAATAAACCCTGAATATTTACTGGAAGGACAGATGCTAAAGCTGAAGCTCCAATCCCCTGGTCACCTGATGTGAAGAGCCTACTCACTGGAAAAGACCCTGATGCTGGGAAAGATTGAAAGCAGGAGGAGAAGGGGACGATAGAGGATGAGATGGTTGGATGGCATCACCGACTCAATGGACATGAGTCTAAGCAAGCTCTGGGAGATAATGAAAGACAGGGAAGCCTGGCCTGCTGCAGTCCATGGGGTCGCAAAGAGTCAGACACCAGTTAGCAACTGAACAACAACAACAACAGAAAATTTTAAATTACATATGTGAACCATGGTATGTTTCTACTGGACCATGCTGTTGTAGATACATCTTCAAACATAATATAAGTGACTCAGTAGAATCCTCTGAAGGCCGATGAGGTTAACAGGAGGGAGAAGGCCCAAAAAGCGGAGCCCAAGATCAAAAATTTGGTGCCATTCATGGAGAAGTTGTGAAAATTGGCAGGTGTTTAGTCAGTAGAGAGAAGACCCCTGTTGTATGTACAGTTAGTACACAGATTTGCCTAGTTTTCCTTTGCTGGGATTCCAGACTCATCAAAAAATTATGAGAACTTACTCTCGAAGGCCCCCGACACATAGGGCATAATTATTTGGGTCACTGTAAATGAATACCCTCTACGGTAAATAATAGAGGGTCACATTTGGGTATAGCCATCCGTTCCTTGTGAGTTTGGTTAGTTGGGTTCAGTCCCTGAGCCCACTGATCTGAGGGTGCCTGCCGACACGGAAACGCCGGACCTGCCAAGTTGCGAACCAGACCCTGCCCTTGAGGACAACCAGAGGCTCCAACTGGGGGTCTTCTGTCCTCCATAGCCTGTCTGGATGACTGGCCAGTCAGTTCCCTGAGGGCAGGATCGGGCCTTAGTTACAGGGCCATGTATTGCACTTATTAGCACAGTGCCTGGGAAGTAGGATAAGCTCAGAAAAATGAAAACTGTAACCACCTCCCCATAATGGATCCACAGCTTCCTCAATGCCAGCCGTGCAGCCAGGCCCTGCCATAGCCCTCCTCCCACACTGGGAAAGCAGAAACCGTTCCAAGCACAAGCCATCCTAAAGTCCACTCCGACCAGCTCACCGGACCTGCCAGGCCCAGACAGGCCCCCTCACCCTCCCTGCGGGTGTCTCTGCCTCTCCGGGGTGGCCGGGGTGAGGGGTCACTCACTCGAGGCTGCCAGCCCCCCCGCAGAGGTGCAAGGGGCGCCTCCCATCCTGGTCAGGGATGTTGGGGTCAGCTCCCGCCACCAGGAGCACGTGGACGCAGGCGGCGTGGCCCGCGACACAGGCCTCATGCAGGGCGGTCCGGCCCCCGGGGGCACCGTCGGGCCTTGCCCGCCGCCTCAGCAGCAGCCGCAGGACTTCCACATGGCCCCGACTGGCCGCCACGTGCAGAGGGGTGGTCAGCTCCTCTTCGTAGGTCAGCGACCAGAGTCCTAGGGAGAGACGGGGACACAGGGTCTCAGAGCCTGAGTGGAGGCAAAGAGCTGCCAGGCAACAGGGTGGGTGGAGGTGGGCAGATGCCGGGAAGCCGGAGCCCAGGGCTCCTTCCCAGGCTTCCCTCCCACCCCCTGCTCGGAGCCCCGACTCCCCCGCCCCATGACCCTGGCCCATACTCAGAGCGCGGATGTTGAAGCGGAAATCTCTCCATCGCTCTGGGTCGCTGGTATCAAAGATGGAATCCGGAGCCAGGCCGTTGCTGGAGTCGGCCAGGATGCGGGAGACAGAGCCCACGTCCCCAGCCAGCACCGCCCGCCAGAAGGCCAGGGCAGGTCCCGAGGCCGTGCGGGTGACGATGGGTCCCGGGCCAGACTCCGGGGACCCTCCGCGGGGCTTCTCCACCAGCCTGGCACAGAGGGCGTGTCTGTCACCAGGGGGCTCGCCCTGCCCCCTGCACTCTTCTGGGGACCAGCTCATGAGGGCAGGGTGTGAGCAGCAGGGGGGGGAGTTCGAGGAAGGGGAAGCGGGGGCCCAAGAGGAGGAGGAGGGGGACGGGCCAGCGTCTCTGGGTCCTCGGCGTCTCTGAGCCTGAGCTGGCCACTCACTGGGCTTCAGCAGGAGCTATTCTGGGCTCCGCATGACTTGTCTCCTGGGCCAAGGTTTAGGCAAGCCTCAGGCTGGGAGGGAAACAGCGCCGCGGCCCGCTCCTTGTCCTCAAATGCTGGGTGCCACCATGCCCGGACCCCCTGCCCTCAGCCCCTGCCGGCTGCCCCTCACCCCTCTGGTGGCTGCTCCAGCGAGGCTCCGCCGCCCGGCTCTCCAGCAGCAGGTCGGCCGTGCTGTGCGGGGGGAACAGCTCCTGCAGCCGCGCCAGGTCGCCCGTGTACAGGGCATTCTGTAGCGCCATGTCCGGGCACAGCAGCGGCCGGGGCCCAGGACGCTCCTGGGCCGCGTGGGACCGGGCCCCCCAGACCCGGCCAGCCGGGGCCGAGGGGAGGCACCCCAGTCGGTGTCCCCGCTGGGGAGGCGAGCTCCTGTTCCTGGGCATGGCCACTTTCAGGGCGAGAGCAGGCCCCTGGGCGATGCTGCTGGTGATCAGGGCGGGTGGGTGCTGGGCTGAAGCCAGGCTCGGCCTTGGGGGAATGGGGGGGGGAGGGGCAGGGAGCACACAGAGGCCATGCCATAAATAGCCCATCCATAGGCCATAAATAGCCTGGACATCCCAGCCTTGCCAAGGAAGGAGGCCTCAGGCTGGGGAATTAGGGAGGAGCCTGGAGGAGGGGGTCAGGGCGGAGCTCAGAGCTTCCCCTGCAGAGGGGGGCAGCAGGGCTGAAGGGACCACCCAGACGTGGAGTCCAACCTGCAGTTTCCTGGGTGAAGGGAAATGGAGCCCCAGGGTGGGGGTGGGGGGATGCTATGGCCAGGGTGTGACTCCGTGTTGCAGGGGTCGGGTGGGGGTTGATCCCAAGCTGCGGTCTCTCAGCCTTCCTCATCTGTCCTGTGCTTCACAGCGCCGGCCTCCAGCAGCCCAGGCTCTGACCCCAGAGGTAGGGCGAGAGGGGTCCCTGCCTTCTGAATGTTACCAACTACCCCCGTAACTTCCCACTCTCAAACGCAAGCTAGGGGTCTCCAGCAAATGGCAGAGAACACCTCCTGTTCTGTGAGGAGTCCCCACCATGGGTGCTCCGAGCTGGGGCAGAGGATTCAGTCCACGAGCAGCCCAGCTTGGCACTGACCCACATCTCCCTGGGTGACCCTGGGGGTCTCCCATGCCATTGCTAGCTGGAAATCAAGGAGGAAGTCCTCTATCTATTGGGGGTACCTTAGGATAAAGAGACCACTTCCCCTGGGGGAGATGAAAAGGGGAGAAGGGAGAAAGTAAACCCGAAATCAGCCCCCAGGGGGCCCCCTGCCCAGCACAGGACCCTCTCGGGCCGGTCCAGCTGTCTCCCCTCCATTGGCTCTCACGACACGGGCCACACGCTTTGACCTTTATTCACACGATCCTTACACGGCATTTTCGGCGATCACCCTGGGGCTCCCAGCGCTCAGTGGCATGGTCATCCCCAGCTCCCTAGGGTCCCCCTCGAAGCCCACGAGTGGCCGTCTGCCAGGGGCAGGAGGCTGCGTCCCTTTCATCCCCCACCCCCCCACTGAGGGTCATAGGAAGGAGTGCAGAGCTCTGGCAGGTGGGGAATGGGAGGGGTGGTGTACAGAAGACGGGTGGAAACCCCTCAGCGAAGATGCTGGGTCTGCCCACAGCCCTCGCCCAGCCCACAGGTGCCTGCCTTTCCCTACCGCCTTTTCCCCTAGAACCTTCTCCCCTTGCCCCTACTCCGATCCACTGCCAGAGGTGCTCTTGCAAAAATAAACCCTAGAATAGAAGGGACCTTGGAGATCCAACCACTCCTCACTTCACTGAAGAAGGAAACTGAGGCCCAGAGACAGGGAAGGACCATGAAATACCTCTCAGGTTATAGCCGGGGTCCGCTGGCCCCACGCTCCGGCTTTTTTTTTTCCTATACTTACTCTAGACCTTTTTCTCCTTTTCCTATTTTTCTCCCTTAAACACCTCTGGCTTCGCAGATGGCACTAGTGCTAAAGAGCTCGCCTGACAACGCGGGAGACATCAGAGACATAGGTTCAATCCCTGGGTCGGGAAGATTCCCCCGGAGCAGGGAATGGCAACCCACTCCTGTATATTCTTGCCTGGAGAATCCCAAGGACAGAAGAGCCTTGTGGGCTCCATTCCACGGGGTCGCAGAGGGTCAGACACAACCGAAGTGACTGGGCATGCACAGAAACACCTCGGGGAGGGAGAGAGCTGGGGAGCCAGGTGGTGGGTGGTGAATGACAGCGGGTGGAGACACCAGGCGCGGGTCAGAGGGGTCTGGGAAGCAGAGCAGAGCCGGCTTGTGAGCGGCCGGGCCGGGGGTGGGGAGAGGGTGGGTACGAAGTGGAGCAAGGCTGAGCCGGGCAGGGGCACAGAGCAAGGGGCAGGAAGCATGGAAATGGACAAAGAGAGCAGGTCCCCGAGCCGTCTGGCCGTTTATACCTCTGTCCCGCCCCAGTCCCCTCCTGGCCTGTGGGACCCCACCCATCCTGCTCCTAATCTCAGGCACCCCAGCCTCAGCTTCACTTCCTCTTCTTCTTCTCCTTTGCCTTGGCTTCCTCAGCAGCGTCCTGGTCCTTGAGAAGTTTCATCTTCTTCTTGCCCAGCGGGGTCTTGAAGTACCAGTCCTGGGTTGCAGGAAGGGTGAAGGCGATGGGTGGGACCCTCGGCTCTGCTGGCTGACCTCGCCCTTCCCTTCCGATGGATTCGAGTCCTCTGCGCGCAGGTCCTCTGCTCTCCTCTGGGATCCTAGGGTTCCTGCCAGAGCCCTGGTTTCCCTCACTCGTCACCAGATACTCTGGGCCACGGTCAGGCGCGAGAGGCCTCCTCCCCTGCCCTGCAGCCCCTGGTGCTCCCCCAGGGGTCAGTGGCTGCGGGTGCCCAGCTGTCCCTGCCCATGAGTCCTTCCCTTCTGAGCTCCCTGGGGAGCAGACGAAGGGGTCCAAAGTGCACTATGGGCCTGGGGGGTGGGCTTCAGAGGGCTGACTCCCCCACTGCTGTTGGCCCTGCCCCCCCTACAAGCCTCACCTTCAGGGACTCCTCCTCCTCCCGGTACACCGGGTCCAGCTTCGCCAGGGGCCCCAGGAACTCTGAGGTCAGGAGCGGCCGCCTGGACAACTGCAGGAGCCGCCGCTCGGTCAGCACCGCCTGGATGGCTTGGAGGATGCAGCCAGCCGTGTAGCCGTCGGACACCTTGGCCAGGGCGCTGATATCCAGGTGCTGGGTCCCCTTGGCTCCCTGGGCCTCAATCATATGCTTCCAGAGCACTGCGTGCGGTGGGGTGGGGGGCACACGGGGCAGAGAGAGCAGTGGGCACCTCCGTGTCTACAGAGGAGCTCTGTGCTTCTGGAGGGCCGCCCGGCATCCAGCAGCGCCCCTCCTCCCAGGGAGGTAAGGATCTTCCTCCCCACTTAACACGGCAAGTGAGACTCCGAGGACTTGAGCGGCCCGCCCATGTCTGCACAGGCACACCAGGCCCCAGGTCCCAGGGCGGCTTGTCTAGCCATCCCTCCAGAGCACCTGGAGTGGAGGTCAGGACTCAGAGCAGGGGCCGATGGGGGAAGCAGGGAGCTTTGGCAAGGGCAGTCCCTCGACCCCTTCTCTGACCTGACCCCACATTCCCCAGCCTCACTGTGAAAAAGTGTTAGTCGCTCCGTCGTATCCGACTCTGTGCGACCCCATGGAGACTGTAGCCTGCCAGGNGTAGGTCCCGCTTTAAGGATAGGGAAGTAAGGCAGGAGGACTCGTCCAAGGCCACGTGGCGGGTGAGGTCTAGAGTGACGTGAACACACCCACGCCTGCCAGCCCTGCCCACGGGCTCTGCCCACCTCCTCCTCATCTTTGGGGACCCGCTTATAGAAAGTCTTCTCCGCATTCCCAATCCAGATCACAGAGGGCTGTAGGTACCGAGCCACCTGGATGCATCAGAGAACAGAAGCCTGAGGTCAGACATCCTTGGGGGAAGGGTCCCCTCCCCATCTGGTCAAACCCAGGGTCAGGGCCATCCTCGGTCAGTGGCCGGCTCCGTTCCCACATTCTGCCAGCCCCACCTCTGCGCCCTTCCAACACCCATCACACCAGAGTCCCTGCCCTCCCCAGGGGGGCGGTGGCGGTACGGGGGGCTATGTGTTCAGCTTCATCTCTGCCAAGAGAAGAAACTCCCCTGCCTCCCACTTCCTTCCCACCTCCCCCATCACTGGGGCTTGGGGAATCTACACGCTCCCAGCAGGGACTGACTGGTGGGGAGACCTCAGCAGCTCCTGAAACGACACCAGCTGGGCAGCTGCGTGACCCCGCACCCCCCCGCCGAGCCCACCCAGCTCTGCTGTCAGTCTGAGAACTCGAGATGCCACCAGGAGACTCCCAGACCTTAAAGACAACGTGCACCAGCATCTGCACCCCAGTCTTGCCGGGGTATTTGCCCTGCAGGTTCTCCGGCGACAGGTCGAAGAGGTTGGCACCGGTCTCCGTGCACACGGCCTTCACCAGCATCTTCTTGCCCATACCGGAGGGGCCCACCAGGAGGATGGAGCGGATGAGGGGAGCCATGGAGTGTATATCTGGGGAGCCTGAGAGAGAAGACAGGGTGGGCTAGGAGCTGGCAGGGGGCCGGGGGTGAAGACGTTGAGTCAGGGGAGGTCAGGGGCCCCAGGCTGGGCAAGACGAGGGTCAGGTCACGGCTGCACTCTTCTGCCCCAGGGCCTGGGCAGTGCCCCGGGGAGAGGCAGTCTGGATGGCGCCTAATGGTTTAGCAAGCCTAATTCCAAAGGGCTACATGGGAAGGGGGGGCCTGGAGGGGGAGAGAGGGGTTTTCAGAAGAGAGCCTCCCTCCTCCCAGTGCCCTTTCTTCTTTCCATCCCACCTGTTTCCATTCCTGGATTTTGAAGGGATGGAATTAAAGGGCGTGTGACAAAGCCCTCCAGAAAGATCCAGGCTCTGGTGTGTATCAGGGGGTGGGGGGATGGTCTTCTAGGAACAGGACAGACTAGGGGAGATTGCTCAGGGCTGAGTGAGGGGCTGGAAATGTGGGGTCCTCAGCAGGTCAAGGGCCTGCCTGGCTTCAGGGTGTGATCTCTGGTAGGGGGGCCCCGAGGAAGGCACGGGGGGAGCCCGACACGCGTCCAAAGACCCTGACAGATACACCTGCCCGGGCCGCCCGGGCCGCCCGTGCCGCCTGCCCCGCGGCCCCGCCAGGCCTCTCACCAAGCCGCAGAATCGCGTACAAGGCCACGTTCTGCCGGATGTCAGCCAGGGAGGGCATAGGCAACTTGTTTGCCAAGTTCAGGGCCGATCCGAGATAGAGGCAGTCACCTGGGGTGGGGAGGGGGGCGCAGCTGGTGAGCGGCAGCCGCCGGGGCAGGGCACATGGGGAGAAGGCTCACGGCAGGGGTGGCAGTCGGTTTTGGGGATGGCCATGGCCAGAGGAACCGCTCCTCGGTCCCGCCCTGGGGCAGGCGCTGGGGGGAGGTCTCACCAACGTAGTCTTTCAAAGGCACTGTCTCGCTCTTCTTTAGAAGGCCTAAGACGACGAGCTCTTCAAACAGGGAGTCCATGGGCCTGGCAGAGCATGGCGCAGGGGGGCGCCCAGGACAAAAGCAAAGGGACACAGTTTGGTGGGGGCGGTGCTGCAGGCAGCAGCAGCGGGGGCAAGGGGGACTCGCCAGCGGCGTCCTGTCCACCTTCCTGCGGTCAGGCAGCATCGGAAGGCACGACGCTGGCCCGCTGGCCCAGACGGCAGCGTACCCCAGCCGGGTGCCCCGGGGTTTGAGTGGTGTGTGAGAAAGGATCAGCGCCCTCTGAGACCCAACGTGGGTGACACATGGCCTCTTCCTGGAAACCATGTGGAAGATGTACATGCGCTCGGGAGGCTGGGGGCGGGGCTGGCCATGAACACAGCTGGCACCAGTGTGCTCGCATCACCAGGAGTGAGTAGAAGGGGACCACTGGCAAGGCCCCCGATGCCCCAGAGTGGGATGCCCAGGGGTGGTGGGCAAGTGGGGAAGGAAGGAGACANGTCTCACCAACGTAGTCTTTCAAAGGCACTGTCTCGCTCTTCTTTAGAAGGCCTAAGACGACGAGCTCTTCAAACAGGGAGTCCATGGGCCTGGCAGAGCATGGCGCAGGGGGGCGCCCAGGACAAAAGCAAAGGGACACAGTTTGGTGGGGGCGGTGCTGCAGGCAGCAGCAGCGGGGGCAAGGGGGACTCGCCAGCGGCGTCCTGTCCACCTTCCTGCGGTCAGGCAGCATCGGAAGGCACGACGCTGGCCCGCTGGCCCAGACGGCAGCGTACCCCAGCCGGGTGCCCCGGGGTTTGAGTGGTGTGTGAGAAAGGATCAGCGCCCTCTGAGACCCAACGTGGGTGACACATGGCCTCTTCCTGGAAACCATGTGGAAGATGTACATGCGCTCGGGAGGCTGGGGGCGGGGCTGGCCATGAACACAGCTGGCACCAGTGTGCTCGCATCACCAGGAGTGAGTAGAAGGGGACCACTGGCAAGGCCCCCGATGCCCCAGAGTGGGATGCCCAGGGGTGGTGGGCAAGTGGGGAAGGAAGGAGACAAGGGAAGCAGGGAGGGTTTGGAACAATGCCCTGCTCACACCTCATCCTGAGTCTCCACTTTCACAGCACATTCTTGTGCTTGAGTTCATCCTCAAGGCTCTACCGTGAGTCTGGTGGGGCAGGGACTCAGAGAGGTTTAGTGACTTCCCCCAGGTCACACAGCCACAGAGCCAGGCCCCAAAGTCAGATCTGTCCTGGACGAGGGCTCGCTCCACCCCCCCCAGTGAAGTGCGGTTCTGCTACCTGTCTGGGGTCAGGTCTTTTTCCTTCTTCTTCCCGGGTTTCTTGCCCACCTTCTTCTGGTAGAAAGCAAACACACAGGCAGTGGTCTTCTGTTCCTTGCCTCCCCCGCCCGAGCGCCCTGCCTTGTTCCAGCCCCGGCTCCTCGTCTTGCCTTTGGAGGCTTCATGGGTCTCGTCTCCTCCCTGTCCACAGCCAACCTCAGGTTCTTCAGCTCCTGACGCATCAGATCATCCACCTGGGGGCCAGCAGGGGGTGTGATGGGGTGACCAGGGCTTGGGGAGGACAGGTAGGAGGCTGAGGATGAAGTCGGGGTCAGGGGACCCTCAGGGAAGATCCAGCCCAGCCCAGCAATGGCAGCTGGTGGGGGTGGAGGGTTCTTTAGGAATGTCCCAACCCTGACCCACATCTCGCTCATGCTTGAGCCTGGCATTCACATGGGCAGAAGCTCCGAAGATGGAGCCAGTCAGCTTTCAGTTCAAGCCCCAGTTTAGTTCAGTTCAGTTCAGTCGTGTCCAACTCTTTGCAACTTCATGGACTGCAGCACGCCAAGCTCCCTGTCCATCACCAGCTCCCAGAGTCTACTCAAACTCATGTCCTTCGAGTCAGTGATGCCATCCAACCATTGCATCCTCTGTCGTCCCCTTCTCCTCCCGCCTTCAATCTTTCCCAGCATCAGGGTCTTTTCCAATGAGTCTGCTCTCCACATCAGGTGGCCAAAGTATTGGAGTTTCAGCTTCAGCATCAGTCCTTCCAATGAACACCCAGGACTGATCTCCTTTAGGACTGACTGGTTGGATCTCCTTGCAGTCCAAGGGACTCTCAAGAGTCTTCTCCAACACCACAGTTCAAAAGCATCAAT